CAATCATTATCAAATGTCAGCATTGAAGATGTCGACGATACGGGATGTTTCGAAAGATAATCGGGACCGGTATTCTTTGCGCGTGGTAAGTATTTGACTTCAGTAATTTGTGGTATAATATCTTGTACTTTAAATAGCCAGTGCATAACACGTTTATTGTCAATTTGTTTTTTAGTGAAGTGTAATACTCTTCATTAAACTGAGGAAAAAATTTTGAACGTTTTCTGCTATTTGGTGTTCGCACACAACCTTTGTCAATTAAAGAGAAAAGCCTTTGTTATCATTTCTTAGAAAGATGTGCTTCTTCCCATGCAGTTCTAAGTTATTCTCTACTTTCTCACATTTCAAACTAAGGCGTGGATGAATGCTGTCAGTCTATCTCTCTCTTTCTCGGACATCAAGGAAACAGAGAAACGTGTTGAATTAAACCTTACAAAACCGTTGGTTATTGTTCTCTCGTATGAATAGATTCTATCTTTTCTCTTTTTCTCTCTTCTACACGTTTTCAGTCTTTAGGTAAAGAACTTAGAATAGCAAACTTTGATAAGATCCTTGTTTTTAAAACCGATGCAGAAAATATTGTACTTTATAATAGGAAAGGAGGAATCGCATACCCCTAGTAGTAATACTGTTCAAAGATCGTCTAATAAATCACTCACTTCGAATACTCACAATGCAATGGAAGTAAGTTTACATCAACTTTTTATGTTTTACCGTGAAGCCAACGAAAACATTGCCGAGACAACTTCAAAAGTTTGTGTGTTTTTGGACGTTGAACCTACTAATAAAAATACGGAGGTTATCGACTCTAAACTTCAATGTCATCTTGTAAAACATAAAACAAAATTTAATGTCTGGTCAAAAAACCGTCTTCTGATCAAGAAAATTTTCAAAAAATAGTCATATCAAAAAGTGAATTACCTGATGTGAAATCAGAAACTGTACGGTCGAAACCTCCAAAGCGTACTCCTCGCGCCCTCAGTGAAGTCGGCGTACGACAAAAGTGGCGAAGGCTGACGGACTTGAATGTTAAGTTGGACGCTTTGCCCACGATAATAACTTGAAAAAAGCAAAATATCGGGCATTATCGGGGCCGAGAGCATTGCCGAGAGCAAAATATCCAATGTATTCACGTAGTTGCTTTATACTCCAATAAATAGCTAATGCCTCGCGCTCCATTGGATCATAACGTTTTTCGGCAGCGGACAATGTACGAGGTTTATAATAACATATTCTAGTGCCATGCTGAGTAGTTTGACGTAATATGCCGCTGATGCCAATAACTGATGCGTCTGCTGATAGGATGAAGGGTACTGTGGGATTCGGATAGTGCAGAAATAATGGCTCGGTAGTCTAAATCGGTCGAAAGCATCTTGTTGATCTTTTTGCCAATACAAGTGGTGTTTCGTTTTCTTCGTTTTATTGGTTACTTTATGAATAGGTGCTGCTAGTTCCCCAAAACGTGGGATAAATTTCCTGTACCAGTTTAATTTATCAATAAATTCATTGGCTTCATTCAGTGTTCGTGGTGGTACTAATTGAATTATAGCTTTAATTTTTTCTGGTGATGGTTTAATTTGATTGTGATTAATGATATGGCTTAAAAATTCAATTTCTTCGACCGCAATGGTGGCTGTTGGATCACACAAGAATTTTTCGCTATGGAATGGATTTTCCGACAACCGTGTTTTCCATTAATTTTTCTTCGTGCGGGGGAGGGGAATTTGAATAAAGCTTATCTCGCGTGCTGATTCCGAATATGACCATGAAAATATCATGCATTGATCAGTCTGAAAGTTGCCAAAGAAAGCTGTGTAAATCGCACTAGGACGCTACAAAAGTTTTTGATCTTTCAAAAATTCGTAGAGATGTTAGCCGTGGGTTTTCACCCATCGTTTCACCTTCTCACCTGGTTGAGGTCTCCCCACATCGAGAAGGTACTAGTTTTATTAACAAACAAGATCTTCTGTCGGTTAACAAACAACAAAAAATCCGAAAAGAAGCAACAGAAACGATCAAATGCTAACCGACTAACCGAAACGAAAAAAATAGAAATATTTTTTATAGCTTAACAGTGAAAGAAAAAATATAAGTTTCAAAATCTTAATCTTCCAAAACATAACATGTTTAGTAAAGTGTCGTCTTCGTTAAGACAGGTAGAAACACCAACCGTCTCGTCTTTTTTCCGCTTTCGTATCAAATTCACTGTTTCATATTGAATAACTGGATCCGATCGAAGGAATAATCGGGTGAAAATGTCGGAAAGATTCGAGAGATGGTCACTTTTTGGGGCAAGATGCTCACAAAAATTTCGAACATCTTTATTCATCGACTCCAAACTCTCCTCGGATAGTTCTCCCACACCTATACCATTGTTTCGTTCGATTAATTCACAACTATGAAAAATCAAGTTGTGGAGAGTTAAATTGTATTCGACGAAAGGAAATTCCGTTGTCAGAAACAGTGTGAAAGCCGTTGTAGCTTTCCGAAGTTTTGTTAAATGAATTGTCTGTGTAGACGACACTGCTCTGAGTATAACTGAATAAAGTTTCATCAGCGTTCGAAAGTTCTCCTGATGTGAATTGGGAACTAATTCAATAACTTTTTCTGTTAGCTCAGAACTAAAGAAGCGACGTCGTTGTTGGCCTGTAGTACTCGTACCTGAGTGTCCACAACCATCGCACTGATCAAGCTTGAGGCCCGTTTTTGCTTCCAGTTTTTCCAAGAACTCGTATTTTGCTTTTTTCAAGTTATTATCGTGGGCAAAGCGTCCAACTTAACATTCAAGTCCGTCAGCCTTCGCCACTTTTGTCGTACGCCGACTTCACTGAGGGCGCGAGGAGTACGCTTTGGAGGTTTCGACCGTACAGTTTCTGATTCGAGTGTGCTGAGTCCGAATATCACATTACAATAAAAGCCCTAAATGTATCGACAGACTTTTACTTTCTCTAGAACATGGCTCGAACATTGAAGAAAATAGTGTTCGACTGTCTCTTGTTGTTTACAACTACATAAACTTTCTTTCTCGTCTTTGATTACACCTCTTCTATACAAATCATCTTTATTGTCCGTTGCTTACCCACGAGTAACGTTCATCATTCTGATTCACTTTCGATAAAATAATTACCATTCTTGTTCACATTACTTTCTGAAGAACATTCTCAACAAGCAGCAGCAAGCGAGCACTTCCACAGTTCTGACAACTATCGTCTTCTTTCAATGCAAGAAATTAATGAGGTATATTCTCAATACTTAAATTCCAATTTCTAATACCTCTCGTATTATGGCTTGACGAGTGTGTTTTTCTGTCCGCTGATAACCTGCATCTACGCTCTAACACACTGTGCTCCTGTAATTATTAACCGGTATATAGGCTCCAACGATCCAAAATCCAAAAAACGTTTTTCTTTCACTTGTCTTTCACCTCCTCTATCAGATATTCGGTTGCTCCTAAGATCAAGTTGAGTGACAGTGTAGTTTACTTTCAATGCTTCTGCTAGTGCTTCACCTCCTCTATCGGATATTCCGTTCCATAGAGGATGAAGTTGAGTGAGTGTTGTTTACTTTAAATTCGTTTGCAACGATAGCAGTGACTTGTTCAGAAACGTTCTGAGCCGTCTTCTGTACAAATCATCTTTATTGTCCGTTGCTTACCTACAAGTAACGTTCATCATTCTGATTCACTTTGGATAAAATAATTATCATTCTTGTTCACATTACTTTCTGAAGAACATTCTCAACAAGCGGCAGCAAGCGTTGGGATCCATGTTAGGCGGGAAATGTTGTAAACGCCTCTCATTCAATTACTTTTCTTTCTCTGTATAAATGGCGCCGGACAAAAAATTGATAAAAAGATTAATAAAATTAATAAAATTCCAAAAAACATTTTTCTTCCACTTGTCTTTCACCTCCTCTATCAGATATTCGGTTGCTTCTAAGATCAAGTTGAGTGACAGTGCGGTTTACTTTCAATGATTCTGCTAGTGCTTCACCTCCTCTCTCGGATATTTTGTTATATCCAAATTCAAGTTTAGTGAGAGTGTTGTTTAGTTTTAGTGCTTGTGCTAGTGCTTCACCTCCTGTATTGGATATTTGGTTATATTCAAGTTCAAGATGAGTAAGAGTATTGTTTAGTTTCAATGCTTCTGCTAGCGCTTCACATCCTCTATCGGATATTTCGTTAAATCGAAGATGAAGTTGAGTGAGAGTGTTGTTTGCTTTCAATGCTTCTGCTAGTGCTTCACCTCCTCTCTCGGGTATTCGGTTGCTGCTAAGGTCAAGCTGAGTGAGAATGTTGTTTACTTTCAGTGCTTCTGCTAGTGCTTCACCTCCTCTGTCGTATATTCGGTTGCAGCTAAGATCAAAGATGAGTGAGAGTGTTGTTTAGTTTCAATGCTTCTGCTAGTGCTTCACCTCCTCTCTCGGATATTCTGTTATATCCAAGTTCAAGTTTAGTGAGAGTGTTGTTTAGTTTCAATGCTTCTCCTAGTGCTTCACCTCCTCTATCGGATATTTCGTTCCATCCAAGATAAAGTTGAGTGAGAGTGTTGTTTACTTTAAATTCGTTTGCAATGATAGCAGTGACTTGTTCAGAAACGTTTTTAGCCGTCATGCTGTTGAAATCGCTCAATTTCAAACGGAGTGTGAATGACGATAGTTGTGTCATATAGGAGAACTTTGGCACTAACACTTTGATCACTTGTTCTGAGTTGATGGCGAAGAGCGATAAGGAGCGAAGATTCACCAATGTGTTCTTCGAAGAGTGGGTGAAGAACAAGTCGAAGTAATCGGAGGTCTCTGCAGACAGATACAGAGTACGAAGTTGTGCCGTTGATGGAAAGTGTTCGCAGATAAAGTGACATCTAGATTTGCTGATGCAATGAAAGTTCAGATCAAACTGTAGACTGCCGAGTAGTCCATTGAAACGGTCGTTTAGTCGAAGGAATGAGTGCAGAATATCATAAGCGCGCAAATGCTCGAAGATTTGAAGAATAACTTCGTTCGGAAGCAACTGAAACTGTGTCACATCTAAACAAATGCGCATTGTCAAGAGTTCGTATCCTTGGTCTCTCTTATATTACGAGAGTCTCTGAAGCATAAAGGAGGGAGAATGGCCAGCCGCGTACTCACTCTCGAATGTAACTAGTAGTGTTGCATTAAGTGATTGTTCTTTCGCATATTAGCCAGGGTTTTATTCTCTCTGTGTAATATGGATGGATAGCCAGCCTTTGGCATTTTACTATGCTTATGACCATGGATGTCATCTCTCTCTCCACTATTCTCAACATATTGCAATCATCATGTGTGCATATGTCACAATGAATGTGGTTGAAGAAGATACGATCTACTTACCATTCTGTGCTTGCTTCAAACATTCATCGTTGCCACAAGTAGTGAGCTTTCGGTCTGATAAGTCATGCTGCGTCCCTCCTGACGATATGAAATCGGCGTTTGTATTCATTCTGCTGTCAGTTGTAGTCAGAAGACTGAATAGGCATGATGTGTTTGCCAACATTATTTAAGTGTTTCCATGGTGACATCACACCTTTTTGTTTTTCTTTTCTCCTATCGTTTTGAAACAGAAACGAAACTCATTGTTTTGATTGTGTGATAATAAATAAGGACAAAACAACTCTTATTTTGACACAGCATATCTTCTGTGCAGAGGTACATGCGTCACTTCTGACGTGTAGCATATCAACTTATAGGCGTTTTTTTCTTGAGGTGTTGCCAACCTGGGACTAGTGGGCTTTTGTAGCCCATGGTCGACTGAGTGGATCGGCACTAGTTTGGCTCCGACGTATGGCCGACACTCCAGCAAAAAAAATTAAAATAAAATTTGCAGCGCAATAAAGAAGAATAATAATAAAAATTAAACGCTGACGAGTTTCGAACCTCGACACTCGCTTATCGTGGGCGTAGTGTTTAACCTATTTTGCCATCAGCGCATATCAACAGATAAGTATATTTCTCACTTATTCTGTTCTTTTCCTCACTAACATAAAGTAGAAACAGGAAGAAATTATATCTATACTTTTTAAAGCAGCATAACGTAATCTCTTTAAGATCAAATTGCAATCTGTTTTACTCGGCATTTGTCTTCGAGAACAGATCACAGGAAAATAATCAGGCAAGCAAGGGAAGTGGCATTTTTGATGGTTTCATATTCTTTCTGCTTGCCTCTCAAATAGTCGAACAAATTTATTTAACTTTATTCAACAGAAATCAAAAGGAATTCGACCAAAACCTCAACTCGACTACTAAAAGTATAATCACTGTTGAAAGTTATTCATAAAGACAGTGCACACAGTCAGCAGTATTTTGGACTTTACACTGCTCACAAGGAGAAATACACAAATGTCATGGACATACCAATAAGGTATCTATGATATTCTGACAAACAAAGTAACTTGAAATAAAATAAACTTCTCGCTATTCAGCTTTCTTACGCTCAAAATAATTTAAAACTTAGAATTTTTTAGAAGTTAATTTCTCTTCGTCTCTTTCAGCGTAGTCAGGATTGTTTAGGCTCCTTTTACTTTTTTAAAAATAGCAGTGTGTATTACAGAATGTATGTATAGATATCATTTAAGCAAATGAAGAAAGTTAAGAGTGACAATGTGTATACATAACACATGTGTCTGTATCAAGTATGAAGAAATATATATTGAAATTGCATATAGGAACAAATACACGTGCACCTTTAAGACGAAGCAAAACTACACTTTTTCCTTTTTGTACTTGTCTATCTTACAATCTTTCTAACTTCATTTGTCAAAAGGCAGAAGGAATTTTAAGTTCAGCATTTTTCGTTTTCGACTGAGCTACGAATCTGAACTATATCGTCTGTCCAAGTATAGACGTTAGAAATCGAAAACAATATGAACGCATTTCTCTTCCAATAAAACTTTTTAGACTTGAATACACATG